GTGGACGACGAGGAGTCGGCGGAGGAGGCCCGCGAGGAGACGCCCGAGGACCGAGAGATCCGCAGGGAGCTGGAGAAGAAAAGGTAGCGGTCCGGGGGCGGGGGGGCAGGCGCCGTCCTCGCCGCTGTGGTGCGGCCTCCCCCGCGACGGACCTCCAAAGGCGGCCTCGGCCTGGGCTGGGGCTGGGGCTGGAGCTGGGGCCTGGGCCTGGGCCGAGCAGGGGGAGCGCTGCTCCACTTCCCTCTTCCTCTTTTGCCAGGGAGATCGACGTCCTCTGGACCTTGAAGTCGGGTGCGTCTACGGAAAGCTCTGCCGACGAGCTGTTTGTGTGCTCTAAATTTATAGTAGCGATAGGACATAACGCTGCAGGTGGGTGGTGCAAACCGCAAAACCAAACCGTCTGAGACTCTGAAACGCTGTTGTTCTTTTGCTGTTGGCTAAATTTGAGAAGGCAGGAGGCTGGAAGAAAGCGTAAGTGTGCTAGGACGCTCCCTTTGCCATCGTCTGTTTTGACGTTGGTCTCTGCTGTAAGAATGGTCTTCAAGGGTGTCCAGCTCTTCATTAGGGAGCGAAGTTTTAAGCCTGAGGCAGCTGAGCTGTCCAGAGAAAGCCAAAGTTAGTCTGTACACGTAAAACACAGTTTTTGTTACAGCTGCTTATTCCTCCTGTCAGGTCGTGGTAAAACGATATGTTTTCAGTTGAAGGGCAGAAGCAAGGTATGTTTTGGTTTTGGATTTTAGTTGGGACAACCCCCCTTTTCCTTTATCTGACTTTCGTTTGGTAGACTCTCCTGGATTGTTTGTTAATTGGTAAAAGTTTCCTTCTAAACGTAAAACACAGTTTTTGTTACAGCTGCTTATTCCTCCTGTCAGGTCGTGGTAAAACGATATGTTTTCAGTTGAAGGGCAGAAGCAAGGTATGTTTTGGTTTTGGATTTTAGTTGGGACAACCCCCCTTTTCCTTTATCTGACTTTCGTTTGGTAGACTCTCCTGGATTGTTTGTTAATTGGCAAAAGTTTCCTTCTATTAGTAGCAAGTTGCTCAGTGCAGCCTAGTGTTTTGAAATAGGGATCTGTCAAAGATGTAACATGAGTCAATAAGCTGTAATTTCTTTAAATTCTAATGAACAGTGATGGGTTTGGTTTGGGTTTTTTACTTTTTTTCTTGATTAGTCAGTCCCTTTTTCACATTTTAATTCCACACTTGTTCAAAATGCCCTCCTTTGAGGTGGTTATTTACTCATTAGGCCTAGAGTCTTGAAACACCCTCTCCCCTTCCCACACACACCTACCAAGGTCTTGAGTTTTTTAATAGCTGTTTCCCTGTGGATATAAAGAAGTTTTAAGTCTTCCTTACATTTAGGTCACATCTAGATGACGTTTAGATGACATCTAAGTTAACTTTGCTAACTTGTTTTTCCTTTGTTAAGGCATTTCCTTGAAAAATAGTTACAGATATTTTAGATCTGTCTTCTGTTTAACAGTAACTTTTGACAGGAATTTGATTTATGAACATTTGATTTAGGATCTCTTTGTGCCACTAAGTCATGCATACTCTTGTCTCTGCTTCCTAGAGCCAGTGTAATGGTTCTGCCTTGCTGGTTCAGTGATTATTTTTGTCTGTTTGTTTGTTTGCAAAATCTGTTATATCTGGTATGTCAAAAAGACATATTAGAGGCTTAATATTTACACCCTTAGTGTATACTAAAGGAATCAAAGTTGACCGTAGTGATATAATTCCTAAGAATACATGTCTTTGATGTTAGGGATCTCTATATGTAGAACTGCTCTTTATCTTTTAAGTCTTGATACGGTGAGGTTACTCACATTGTTGATCTTTTCTGGATTTGGTCAATAAATGTATGTCGATAAAAATAAGTTATTACTTTTTTTTTAACTTGAGATTGCAAAGAAGTAATTTAATTCAGTTCGGGTATTTATTTGTAGAACAGAGATTTTATTCTTTACAAATTAACAGTGTTTATTGTTTTTTGCAGCTTTCCTGTCTTCTTTTATTCTGGATTCTGTATGTTGGGAAGTAGTTGGAGTTGCGAAGCTGTGGAATGAGTGGTGTCGAACATCCAACACAACAAATGTCCTCCCGACAGATTCTTTCTGTTTGTTTTACCGATTAATATCAGATCCGACAGTAAGTGACTTACACGTGAATTCCCCTATATTTTAGCTTTCTGAAAAAGAGAGCAACCTTCATCCACCCCCTACCCTGCCCAGGGCAAACAAAGCATTAAGGCTGCGGTATTCTGGATTAATGTCATCAAAAATCTGAAGGGTCATTATGTTCACTAAAACTAGTTGAAGTTCTGGCATGTGAAGTTCAGTACAAAGAAGATGTATGACAGCCTGCTTGCTTCATGTCAGTTGTGAATGAAAAATTCTTGTTGAAACAGAGTTGAAGAAGCCCAAGAAGACTGAACAAATTGTTGGCTGCAGTCACATCATCTTCACACGTGATTATGAGCTGCTGTTGTGCTCTTTAAACCACTTGCTTATTCAACTTTTGTTTTGTTTTTTTTTTAAGGTTTTGTTGTGCCAGTGTAGTTGCTACATTGCTGAGGATCAACAGTTCCAGTGGCTTGAAAAGGTAAAACTGGCAAGGCAACAAATTGAGCAATGAAATCTTAGGGGTGGGGATCTTCAACTTGGTGTAAGTGCCTCTTCCTCTCTGATATTCTAAACCTGACAGCATTGTAAATAACTCTTTTCCCTGGGGCTTTCTTTCCTTAAATATTCAACAAATGAAAAAATTTACTATCTGCCGATTCTGTGAAATTCCTTTCTAGATGCTGCCGGTTGTATCTGCTGTAACTTCCCAACTTTGTGCAATTATTTCTTTTGGGCAGTTTCAATTTTGTTGCCCTTGTTGAACTACTTTCAAACCTCTTTCCTGTTTGGCTTAAATTTTCTATGGCTTATTTCAGCTCTGGGAGAATCCTTCCTTAAAAAATAATAACATAACTGCATTTGTACATCTGCCACAGGATCACCAGACAAACCTGTTGTGAAACTCATGATGGATGGTATCTTTACCAATCGGTGTGTTCTGTTCCTTTCACAAGGAGGAACTCTAAAGGAGGGTGCCTCCAAAGCAGTGTCTGTCTCATTTGTTCGTAGACTTAGTATGCTAAGTGCCTTACCCCAGCATCGTTCAGGTACACCAGCGCTGCTAGGTCATTCAGGTCCCTCCAAATACCATGTTGATTTTAATAAGATAAAGCTGGGGGGGGAATGCTCTGGCTGTTGATTTTCTTTATGGATTTGGGTCACTGCTTAGCCTCAAGGAAGTATGGCTTATTTTGTCTTGCTGTCTGTCTGCTAACCTGCTTTCCTTTAAATCTCTGCTGATCTGATGAACAAGCAGAGATTCTAAAGCTGTTATGTTACGCTGAAGTTATGTAAGGCTGTGGCTAGAGACACAAAGAG